CCCCAAAACCCCAAAACCCCAAAACCCCAAAACCCCTTTACTGGATAAAACAGTTGAGAAATTAATAATTTTCAATATGTCTTCTCCTTCCGCCAAGCGAAGCCATCGATATTTAGATAACAATTCATGGAAAAACAGAGCCATGAAGATTCACCCTGAAGACTTTAGAATCTCCAGTTACAGTGAGATAGAAGCCTTTGGAGGAACTGACGAAATAGACAATAATGATAGCCATGAAGAATACGAATCAATGATTGAAGAAAACATTTCATCATATCTTCACAGTAACCCCTCAAGTGTGCATATCCATCAGATTGCAAGTAAATAAACCAATCCAAAGTGCAGGAAGTTCCGTTATCAAAAGCTCAGATTTTCATCCTCACAGTAAAAATAACAGCGAATTAGTTGAATACGACAGCAATGAGCCAAAGAGAACTTATTATGGTAAATTTCCCTCCTTAAGAAGCATAAACACGATATTAACATAGATATAGAGGAAAGAATACCATCCTTTAATGACATCCCTCAAGAAGCTCCTAAAAACAGAAATTAGGCCAAAACAAAGTCTCTTAATAGATAGAAGCACTTGCTCCCAGAAAGCAAAACCCAACAAAGGACGTCCAACAGTGGTAATCAAAGACGATGACTCGGATATTTATGATGGGACTGATACCTTCAATGACGATGAATTCATAGAAGAAGTATACGAGAGTGTTGATACCTCTAACATCTCTTCAAAAGTAATAGTCGAAGCAAATAGCGAGTTAGAATATAGCAAGGAACTTAATAAAGACAAATCATTTGAAAAATACAGAAAAGAAAGCTATAATTACATTCCTAATGAAGTAGAAGAAGACCATGACCAAGACCAGTCCTTCATGAGACTCAGCAGGAGTTATGAAGACTATAAGGTCTCAGATAGGTAGGATTTTAATAATAGTAGCAGGTCAAGAAAAGAGGAATCTAAGTATGAAGACAGCTCGCCCAAAATTAACCTCAAAGACTATAAAGATAACAGAGAAAGCATCGAAAAGATCAAAGACACTCAGTCTACTCATGATAACTACCCTAGCTACGACTACCGGGTTACTAAAATTCAAGACAATTTGGAAAAAGTGGACTATCACAACGGTGATGAGGATACTTACTCTCAAAGACCTTCAGAAAGAAAAATTGAGGTAATTCCAATCTTACCAAATATAGCTAAGGGATTTAGGAAAAGTCACCTCATTTGAGAAGTTCTTCAATACGCATATAAAATCCACAGAAAAGAAAGAAACCCTTGTGGATAGATTCAGGAATGGCAAGGCAATGAAAAAGAGCTGGAAAAGTAGCTGTAAACCTGAAAGTCCCAAGGTCGAACTTGATAATGAGCAGATCAACCTAATCCTGAGTTCTATTTCAATTCATTCTGATGATAAAGAGAAATTCCTGAAGTCATTCTGACACAAATATTCAAACCTCAACTCCTCAGTGAAGGGAGGCTTCTCAGAAAGAATGAAGGCTGATATAGAAAAGAGGGAGAACAAAAGTAAAGAGCTCCAAAAAGCAGAAGAGCTCTATAGGCTTCTCAACGAGAGACCATTAGATAAAGAACAGAAGGATGAATGCCACAGCAGACTTTACCTCGATGCTTTCTACAGAGCTTATAAACTCAATGATAAAATCCTGAAGGCTGAGAAGGAAGAGAATGAAAAGTTTAGGAAGCAGAACAGAACTGCTTCCAAAAAGAGAATCGAACAATTTGTTGAAAAAGTAAACAGCCAGATCCTTGGCTCCAAAGAAATTCTTGACAAAAAGAGAAGAATCAAGGAATTACAAGAAGAAGTTGAACTTCAAGAAGTCCTTAACAAGAATATCTCAAGAGGAAAAATGTCAAAATCAAGAGAGAGAATGCTTGCAAAGAAAATGTATAATTATGAAGAAAAATAAGTTTATTAAAAGAGCGGGTAGAGTCAAGGAAAAGCAGCATAATGAAGAAATAAAGATTAAACAATATTTCCAACCAAAGGTTTCTAAATCTAGTGCAAAGCTTGCGAAAAAGAAGAGAGAACATGAAAAATCTATATCAAAAATTGACCCAAAGACTTCCTTAATGGATTCTAACGATGATATTCCATTCACAGAGAGTATTTTCGATAGACTTTATAAGGAGGCAGAAACTAAGAAGGAACATCTGAACAGGCTTAGGAGATCAAGAGAAGATGCTATGTACAGTGCATCAAAATCAAATGGTACTTCGATGTTAAATGCTTATAAAAGGAGCTCAAGATCTAAAAATAAATCAAATAAAGATCCTTCCTTTAACATGATCACAAAGGAATCCCCTTTAACAAGCATTGATCAGTTTAATCCCTCATCTCCACGAATAGAAGCGGAAGGAAATAGATTGATGATGCAGAAGTATCTCACTGAGTCAGAAAGAGTCCAAGAAAATAATAAAAATTCCAAGAACATAAAGAAATACAAATCAAATGGGGCTGCTTCTCCATGAGATTTCATCACATGGAATGAAAGCAAGTATAACTCTCAAAGTATTGACCAATTCTTCGATCAGAGAATCAAGGATGCAGAGAGACAGAACAAATTGATGAAGCCTTTAGGAAAGAAACCCCAGAAATCTACAGCTAAGAGCATTAGTAATATGGGGGTATACAGAAGGACTAGACACCAGAGGAACCACAAAAGTGACCACTATAGTATCACAAGTGATACTTTATACTCAATGGAAGATCATGCTGAGACTGTGAATTATAGGCAGCAAACTGCTAACTCAAGGAGTAAGAGTAAGAAGTCGAGAGATACAAGAAAAACAGCTCGCAAAAACATTCTTGCATATAGTTTACTAGACAGGAGCATTGATAACACAATTAGCCTCCTTGAAAAATCTAAGAAAAATAACTTAAACGAGCTAGATCTCTGTAAGTTTCAAAATATAATCAATGTAGCTGAAAGCAGTGGCCTTCAGACTAAGCCTAAATATAAATTCCAGCTTAAAAATCGAGAAAGAGAGATGTACCTTGAATCATTTAGAAAAATGCAAGAACTTAAAGTAACAAACGAAGAGAATTGACAATAATTTCTCAAATAATTTTTCAATCGCTATTGCATGAATGGGGTTTTGGGGTTTTGGGGTTTTGGGGTTTTGGGG